GTCTGCCATTTTTATCAAGGCGAGTCTTCATTTTTGACTTATTTTTTCTCTCATGTGTTGCTCTGTCCTCTTAGTAACACACATTAATTTATTTTTTAAAATCATCAGAGCAACGTATTCACAGGGAAATAAAAATTCAAACAGTATAGAAAGCCCCACAACAAAAGGTACCCACCAGAAGTCACTATTTTTGACTTTTTTGTTGATAGCTCCTATGGTATATAATTCCATAACATTAGGGAATATATCCATACCTCTATATTCATAAATGTTAAACCATATCTATTATTTCTTCCCCTCTCGTCTTTCCCTTCTCTCATTCTACTCTTATCACACTGCCTTCTTGTTGTTTCTAGAACATTCCAGGCTTTCCAGGTTCAGAGCCTGTGCACTTGCTGGCTCCTCTGACTGGAAGGCTCTTCTCTAGGGTCTTCGCATAGGGTGTGTGCCCTAACTTCACTCAGCTCCCTGTCCTACAGTCACCTTCTGATGGAGGCCTTTCCTGACCACGCTTTCTACTCTACTGCACGCCCAGACCCACACTCCCCATCCTTTACTGTCATCACCACAAACATTCTATTTTATATGTTTGCTTTTAATTGTACTTTCCCCTACCAGAACGGTGCCTGGAACATGGCAGTTGCTAAATACATTTGTATTGAATGAATTAACAAGACTGTTAATTCCTTAACGCTACCCCCCTTTTTCTCCCACTCTTCCTTTTTCACTGGTTCTATTTTAATTTTTAATTCTTTTTGATCCATCAGATTTACATGGGGCTTATTCGTTTTCTACTGTTTAGGATGAGAAAGCCAGCACTCCTAAACTCCCTAGCTTTTCTTCTTTCCCTCTGCCCCTCCTGTCTCCACCTTCTCATACGTCCATTGGCCATTCCATTGTGCAAAAAGTTTCCCCTTTCTGTGGCCCTGATTACACCCCTGCTGTCAGTTCTCCTGTAGTCTGTTCTCCAGCTCCTCTGGGACATGCCACCCCAGGCCAGGGGCCCGCCACACGCTTTCTCCGACCTGTGTCTCTGCATCTGCGCCTCCTTTGCCGGAACTGTCCTTTCTGTACATCACCGAAAGTTCCAGTCCTACTCATTCTTTTTTTCACTATAGCTATTACTTTTATTTTACTCAACTGTGTATAATGTCCTTCCATTCAGTCCGTAGGTTATCTGCCTAATGGAATCTTTTATTTTTCCTGAACTTTTTTATGCATTTAGACACACACACCCATAAATAGGATTATATTGTATGTGCCTTTGGTCTCATTGACCTGCTTTTTTCTTCTTGTCCCTTTTTGCTTGCCGCACCCTCCTCCTTTCACAATATGAGCCCACACACCCCTCAATCCCACCTGAGTAATCTGTGCTACAATCTGACGTGCACTCTCTCCCACGTCCCCTCTGCTCTTAGAATCATCCACGCACGTGGGCATCACGTGGAGTGTTTTGTGATCATCATTTGCTTTACGAAAATGACTGAATAGAATGTAAACACACTTCTTCGCATCTTACTTTTATCACTCAACAATATGTCATAGAAATCCAACTGATAGAATTCAAATGTGGTCTTTAAATAAGCCCATAATGTTCCATGGTATAATGTAGCATTATTTATTTAAACATTCACTGAACTGTGTGTGTGGGCGTGTGCATGTGTGTGTGTACCCTAACATGCTGATGCTTTCATTCTGTGTATTTGAGTCCCCAAAATGGGATCACTGGATTAAAGAATACATGTTTTAAATTTTTAACAGATGTTGGCTCGTTGCTTTGTAAAATGGTTATGACAACTTGCATTTCCCCCAGCAATGGATGCAAGCATTCCCTTCGTGGTATTCCCACCAGCAAGAGCTGCTAGGGATCTTTTTAGATATACCAGTCAGATGGATGTAAAATGATGTCTCACCATCACGTTAATGTTTATTTCCCTGATGTCTAGCTAATTTAATTATCTTTTAATATGTTTCTTGCTCATTAGGATTGCTTTATTTTATACTTTTCCCCATTTTCATTGGGTAATTTGTGTTTTTCTTGTCAATTTATAGTAGCGATCTCTGTCCATGACAGCTATGCACTCTCTGCCTGTCATCTTTACGATCTGCTGATGTAAAGTTTGTGAATTGGATTAAATTAACACTCTAATGAGTTCTGCATTGGTTAACTCAAAGAAAAATGCTCTATGTCTCAAATCTGTATTTCTTTCTCATGTCTCTACCTATGCTTGCTTTATTTTCCCTAACTCTCCCAGAAAGTAGCTGAGTGGGGAGAAAGGAGGAAACGGACATTTATAAGCACATTCTATATGCCACTGAGTAGGCTGCATAATTTGTAAGTTACTTTATTTAATTAAATGAGATTTTTAAAATTTTAATCCTCATTTTACAGACAAGGAAACAGAGGGCAGAGAGGTTAATTTACTTCCTAAGTTCATGGAAATGGCACAGTCAAGATTTGAATCTTGTCTGTCTGGTTCTAAAACTTGTTCTTTCAAATGCTTTCGTCTGGCTCCTGGGTTTATTTGAGGCCCACAGCCACCCTGTGGGATTGTCAGACAGGCTCCATCATCCCCTTTCTTAAACTCAGAGGGGTGACTGACTTGCCTTTGTCACAAACAGAAGTGGATTGCAAACCTACGGTTTCCGTCATCAAATCTAGAACCGTTTCAGCCATGGCATCTGGCCACCCCTTTTCTCTGGAGTTGAGAGCACTGAGGTGGGATGTCATGGGCAAGCCATTGGGTGGTCTAGTGTCTTTCAGTGAATCCTCTGCCACCCGGAGGGGCAGAGGTGCCACCTGCTTTGCCAAGGCTGTCTGTCTTCAGCTGATCTTTTCTCCGGGGGCTCAGGTGGGTGGAAAAGCGAGGGGAGACGTGCATAAAGGAAGGGACCCTGAAATCCCCAGGACAAAAATAACCTCATTTTCCCCCACCTCCACTCCCACTCTCCATCCAAGGGGAGGAAAGGCAAAGTTTCAGAAACTCTGAAATGACTAGAAGCAAATGAAAAGCATTCTGGTTGCCCAATATTTACATAAGAAGCTGCTTACATTTTCCTTTCCTGTTTTTAACTTATGAGCTGGCACACAGACGTGGACACCCACCCACGTGCACAGAAGGATGCGTGCCCACATACATGTGTCTCACACACGCAGGCTCCGTGTGCACAAGAAGCCATCCCCACACCACGGATTGCTGACACCACCTCTGGGACCACCTCCTCCCCGGGCTGTGGGTCTTTGTTCTTCATGCGAAGGAGTCTACATGTGGCTTTCCTCAGAAGCAGCTCCTGAGATAGGAATTCAAGTGCAAAGGATTTATTTGGGAGGTGATTTGGGAACTACCATTAAGAGAATGGGCAAGCGAGGAAGGGACTGGAAGGAAACCGGCTGGGGAAGGTTATCAAGCCACAGTGGTGACCGTGGGCAATGGGGCCCAATCCCACTGGGAGCTCTGGGAGAAAGTGAAGAACACATCTCAGAATTGTCCCACCCAAAGGGAGGATGCCGGAATGTGTATCAATCAGCTCCCTTTCATGGTCATGATTGGGGGCTATATGGAAGGAGAAATGCAGACTTCCATCTTGGCTTGTCTGCCATGCAGGGGTAGGACACAGCCAGGCCAAGAGATGTGCCCTTGACGTCATCCAAGAAGAGGCTGCCATCCCAGCTCTGCTACTTTCTTACTCGATACCTTGGATAATTCCTTTCTTCTCTCTGAGCCTTAATTTCTCTCATCTAGAAGATAGGGAGAAGACTGTTTCCCACAAGATTGGAGTGGGGATTTGATTAGGTAACGTGTGCCCCGCATTGACCACTTGCTGAGTTGATTCTCAAAAGAGATTCGTTTTCTGTCTTGCCACCTAAACTTTCTTAGTTTCCAACCTGTCTTTGTTAGAATGGTCTAGGGCTCAGTTCTCAGGCCGTCTCTTCTCTAGGACACACTCCTACGTCATCTCATCGAACCCAAAAGCTTTCACTATCGTCTAGAGTAACACTCAGGACTCCCATACTCCTGGGTTCAATCTGCCTCCTTTGAAGGAGATCTGGGATCAGACACTTACCACCTTGCCTGTGACCACCCTGGTCCAGCCCCCCATTATCCCCTGCTTGGATCTTTGCAACAGCTTTCTGGCTCTTCTCTTTTTTATCCCTGTCCCTTTTATAGTCTTTCCTGCACACAAAAGCCAGAGAGATCCTTTTCTAATACGTGTTGGATCACGATACTCTACTCGGTCTTTTAATGCCTTCCATCTCATCTAAAGGGAGAGCCAAAGTCTTCATGTTGGCTTATAAGAGTGACGGGACCACTTGACTAAAATCTCCAATCTTATCTCCTCTCACTGTCTCTCCTGCTCACTCTACCCCAATGACTCCGACTTCCTCCTATTCCTCAAACGGTTCCAGCACCCTCTGGCCTCAGGGACTTTGCATGTGCTGTTCCCTCTGCTTGGATATTCTCTCCAAGTTATCCACATGGCTCACTCCTTCACCTCCTGCAAGACTTTCCTCAAATACCACCTCTCAGCGAGGTCTACCTTCAGCATCCTGTTTCAGATTGTGATGCTATCCTGCCCTACCTCCTCTCCCTTCGGTTTCATTATTCCTCATAACACTTATAACCATTCTCCATACTGTGAAATGTTTGTATTTAGTTTATTCACTGTCCATTTTCAACCCACTCGAACATAACCCCATGAGGGCCTTTCTCTTTGCCTGTTCTGATGATTGAGATATTCCAGAGAAATGCCTGGCCATGGCAAATGCTTGATCATTTGTGGAATGAATGAATGAATGGCATGGCCTGCTGGTTAAGAGCCTGACTTTAGGAATCACATGCATCAATTCAATTCCTATTTCCACAACTTACTCTCTGCACCCTCATGCATATTACTTTATCCACCCAAAGCTTAGTTTCCTGATCTGTAAAATGGGGGAAAAATTGTCCCTCCCCACAGCTGTTGTCGGGGGAGAAAAGACACATTAAGCGCTCCGATGGTGCCTGGCACATAACATGCCCTCAAGAAAAGATACGTTTATTTTTCAGTTTCTCTTTCATCTTGTTTTTTGGTGGCTTCACAGATATTTTAGGGGAAAATTGAAAAAACTCATGGTATAACAGTAGATGTAAGAAAACAAACAAAAAAAACACAACAAAAAGAGGATGCAAAGTGTGTGTAAAAGAATTAGCAGAATTATGTAAATCTACACACACCCACACACAGAGACAAAAGGCCAGAAGAAAACATGTCAAAATATTTACAACGGTCGTTTCTGGTGAGATTATGGGTGACTTTTAATGTTTTTGTTTACACCATTTTTACATTTCAAAAATTTCCCATAACGAATTTGTGTGACTTTCACAATTAAAAAAGCAATGAACATTTCTAAAGAGAAAAATAGGGGCCCTCAATGAAATGTAGCTCTCCTCCCTGACTTCTCAATTCCTCATCCTAGTGAAGAATGTTTTCTGATCACGTTTTAATTCCTGTGTGTCAGGAAGTTCACACTCTTATTTACGAACCCACGTCTGTCTTCTCCAAAACCCATATTCCTGCAACATGTCAAGGGCAGCTTCTATATATTGAGGTAAAGTCTTCTTCTCCAGCAACTTCCTTTCAGTTGCCTGGAATACCATCGGGGTTAAAATGTAGAACAACCAAAAATAATAGGCAGCATGTGCTGCAAGTCAAACCATCCATCCCTTATTCCTTTTCTTGTAGCAGCCAAAAGAATGGCAGGTGGCGCCGGGGAGCTGGGGGGTAGCCTCTCACACCTTGGAGAGGCCTGCACAGCCGCTGTTTCCTTGAGACCCCAACATGCAAAGACCAAATCCTGGAGGAGAACCTTACATCCAGGGTGTGTCATCAGAGGACCGATGGGGACAGGAAGCAGACGTCTCCTCCCCATCAACGCCCTGAGACCCCGGAACTCAGACGTCGCCTGGTGAGAGAGGAGGCAGGCAGGGTCCTCTTCTGACTGTTCACCCCAGAGAGATGGCACATATCCTACAGGGACTCAGCTTGTCCGGAAATGACTAACTGTGTTTTCTATTACCTGGCAAGAATAGCAGCTCAAAATCAACTTTAAGTTGAATTTTTGTTCATCTCTTTTGGTGACACTGTAATTCATAATCCACTGCATTAATGATCAGAAGGGGCCTTGGGTGGTAGTGAGTTTCTTGTCTGAGGGCATCTCGAGGAAGAGGAAGAAGTCTCGTCTCCCTGGGCCCAGCTTGGCTCCCATGAGGTGGTGCCCCCCCTGGGCTGTGCAGGGGTCCATGCTGGACTGCTCTGGTTGTTCCATAGGGCATCCCCGGAACCTGGCAGCTGGGGGCTTCATGCCAAGATCAAGGACAGACGTGGGAAGGAGGGATTAAGTAGTGGAAGAACAGAGGAGCTGGGAGAATGGATTTAGGAAGCTAGCAGGCTGTGTGAAGTCTCCCTGTGGCTCTGATCATGGTCTATGGATTCCTAGGAAGAGGCGGCTGTAGGTAGAAACAGATAATGTAGTTCACCCGGAAGAAATCGCCAGCCTGAGATGGGTACCTCTTTGGGTGTCTTGATGGCAGCGAGGTCCCAATGCATGATTGACTGTAGGGAGTGTGGGTGGGTGGTGAGGGGGAGGGATTGACCCCAGGGGAGAATATTTAACAAGGGCCAGGCAAGGGCATCGACCAGGCAGCAGATGCAGCTACCTGGCTCGCTCACCGCCTATAAAGAACCAGCACGGTGGCTCCGACGTATGCCAGCCAAATTCCAGCCCTGACTCTGTCAGCAGCAGCAGGTACACCCTGTGGAACTGAGGGGGTATTAGCTCAGGGTGATACCTTGCATGGAGGATCCAGCTCCCAGCGCAGTAGGTGGCACAATCCTGGGAGAGATGCTTGGCCTTTTGATGTGGTCCTTTTGAAGCCCCTTTGTGATGCATCAGGATGGCTGGATCTGAATCTAGCACAGCTGCTATCCTGCTGGCTAATGCTCCCAACAAACACACCTCGTCTTACCCCATGCCCCACCCACCCGGACTCTCCCCACAGGTAGGGAAGGGATCAGGAGCAAGGGGAGGGTCTCGGATGGCATGAGGTGCCTGGGGCGCACATTCTGTGACAGAAGAACTGCATGTTTTAACAGCTTCTCTGTTGGGCACAGTCTCAGTGGCTCCTGTCCCAGCAGAGGTGATGTTGATCATGTGTCCATGGCTCTGGGATGACAGGTCCCAGCAGGGAGTGCTAGTAAGAGATAAAGGAAGGGATGGCAGAGCAGATACGGCCGCTAGGAGCTGTGGGAATTTGAAGACACTCCAGGACCTCCTGGGGTGGGTAGAGGACACGTTTGCTGGGAGATCTTTGAACACAGAGTGAGGGAATGGCGGAGGGAGTTGCGATGTGGGGAAGAGGACCAGCAGGAGGGAGGAGTCAGGGGGATGGATGTGACAAAGGGTCTCTGTGACCCCTCCGAGCTGTTGGGAAGGGGCATGGGTCCTCAGAGGCACAACCTGAAGGCAGGGATGAGCCAGTCGGAGCATGGAGCCCATGGCAGTCAGCGGCAGGCCCGCAGGCTTTCAGAATGAGTCAGAGACTGGCTGCTGACAGTGAGATTTTCCACCCCCCAGGCCATATGGGCTGATTCTGAGCTTCAGAGGAAACCACTTGGCAAGAGGCAGCCTGAGAAATCTCAAATCATATACAAATTTCTTCTCCCTGTCCCACACCCCACCCGACCTCCAGCCCTAGCATATGCAAGCACCCCCCACCACCTCCAGTCCCAGCCTAAGGGAGTGCATGCACACACACACGCACACACGCAATCTGCACGCACATGCACACACTCACATAACCTCCAACCCCAATGTATTTATACACTTTCCCCTGCACACACAGAGAAATCGAGTGTTTGCTCACTCGTTCACATTGTGCTGGTATAGAAAGAAGAAGCCACAGACCCATGACCAACGGGGATGCCACTGGCTGTGGGCCTTGCACCATCGGGACTGTTGGGGAGGGCACCATGTGAGCCTGCTGCAGTGCTAAGGGACTCCCCTCACTGCAAAGCCTCTGAAATTTCTTGATGTAGCTAAAGAGAGAACAGATGGAAAGGACAGCGTAGCCAAGACGGTGGGCAGCTCTTTGGGTGAGAAAAATGCCATCGTGGGCCTTTTGGATTAAAGAAAGCAATCTTCTCCCCTCCACCCTACTTAGGACGTGAACACGGACTGGCTGTAGATAACAACTTACCCAATAATGTGAGAGGAATGTCAGATTTTTTCTGAGGGGCAGGGAGAGAGTCCAGAGTCTGGAAAGAGAGAGGAGAATACAGGAAGAGTGCTCGCTAGAAAAACCCCTTGAGCAAGCAGAAGCCTGGGCGTGGGGAGGACGGAAAAAGATGGTTGTCCAGTGGAACGATGGCCAGGAAATCAGAACGTTTAGTGTCACGTATCGAGGTGGTTCCTCATCTTTTGTGGGCTGTTTTCATTACCCCAACTTTGAGCACGTCTGCTGCATAAGCAGTAGGGTTTGGGAAATGAAGAGGGAGGGAAGATGCCAAAGACAGGCGAGGCATGTCGGGAAGAAGGCGTTCGGTGAGGGGGCAGAGGCTGAGAAGAGAAGGACTGGATTCAGAGGGTCACACGCTGGAGGGAGAGACAGCACGAACACATGCACGTGAGGGAGTCTTATATTGCACATGTTGGGCCATTGCTGGGGCGTCACCGGTGGCCAGACATCAGGGCTGGGGATGAATGCCACAGGCCACAGGCATAGAATTGGTTTTCTTGCTAAAGGGAAACCTCCAAGGCTGGGTTGGCAAGAAGAGAAGGTGCGGGAACCCCATCTTCCCGTCACCCGCAGAAACGCATGGGGCAAGGGCAGCATGGGTCTGCCTCCCAGGGAGCGCCACTGGCTCTCCGGGGGCGAAAGCAGCCTTGTCAGTGGGGGTTCGCACAGGCTGCTCTGGGCCAGGAGGTCTGCATTTGAGTGCCAGCTGTTTACAGCTGTTGTCTGGGAAACCAGCTGCCCAGGGCTCAGAGACCTCGAGGACCATGGGAAGCGCCAGTCCCTGCTGCCATGGCCGGAAGACCCAGTCTAGCAGGAGGCTCAGGTCGGATGCAGCACCTTAGCCAGGAGAGGGCTCCCGGTGCTGGAGAAGCTCCCCTGTCCAGGCAGCCAGGGGCAGTTGCCTAGGCCACTTTCATTCATCTCATTGCTCTCCCCAAAGTTCACCATCCAGAGAAGGAGACAGGCAAGCAACTGATTGCAAGTCAGCATTCTAGATGGCAAAAGGTCAGCAAGCAACATTCTGTGGGAGAGGAGAGAAGAGACTTCCTAACTGCCTAGAGGGGCCAAGGGGGGTTTAGAGGAAGGGAGACAGGAAGAAGGAAGAAGGGAGATGGAAGGAGCTCCATGGGGAAGAGAGGAGAGTGCTCCATGCAGAGCACAGAGTGTGAGCAAAGGGCTGGGAGCTGCGACCTGACCCTGGGGCTGGGGCCGACCTCAGCCAGAAGTCGTTCTGCAACACTGTTCTTATCGACCTCCCCCAGCTCAGTGACAAAGGAACAACAGGAAGCCCTGGGTTCCCAGCCGGCAAGCGCTGGCTTCGGACGTACCCACTGTCTTCTCCCATTTTCCCAGCATGGATGAGGAGGGGGTGCAGAGGCTGGAAGACATTCTTCATCTTCAAAACTTGGACTATAAATTAAGGAGGAAAAATACGACCACCACAAATATGTGTCCAGCAGGGCAACAGCGATGTGCAGCCGTCAGAAGAGAGCTCGGCTGAGCAAGTACTGGCCAGCCTGCTGGGTCTGGCAGAGGAAGTCAAGTCCTGCACAGTATCTTCGGCTTATTCCCCATCAGGCACTGTGTAGTAGCTGAAGTCCTCTTGTCTGTCACCAAGCCGTGAACCCAAGGGGGCGGCACATTTTCCTGAGTAACATAACTGCTCTGTATGGACCAGCAAAGGTCCCGAGGACCCGGGCTGGAGTCAAGCGTCCTGACTTCTAATCCCAGCCTGGCTGGAGCAGCTCTATTTCTCCACCGTCTTATGAAACACAACACAGCACAATGAGTGAGAGGAAGTGCATTGTGATGAAAAGATACCTGGCGTTGGTGTCAGATGAGCAACACCCAGGAGACCCCAGGGACAAGCTTTGTGATGGTGGGCAAGTCGCTCACCCTTTCTGAGCCTGAGTTTTCCCATCTGTAAAATGCCGATGATAATCCGTACTCAGGCCTGCTCACCAGAGTTGTTGTGAAGATCAGACGAGTTATAAACACCCACAGCCTGTGAAAACTGTGAGACAGTAATATTTCTATAACAGAGTCCAGGAGTGGAAGTCTGGTGACTCCACTTGGCCACAGACGGACGGACCGTGTGTCAAGCTGCTTGGTGGGGCCTGTTGCATCATCCCGAGGATGCGCCCCAGCCCTGCCAGGAGGCCCTGACGCATGTGGTCCAGCCACTGTTGACTTGTTGGGGTCCCTTCCTCTCTCCAAGCCTCAGTTTCTACCTAGGAAATGGCAGAGGGGGACAAGATGATCCCATATGTCCCTTCCAGCTCTGACATTCCACAGGACTACCGTTCTAGACAATTCTGTCTCTATGGTAGGATTGTTTGGGACCCTCAGAGCATCTCTTGGTCCTCACAAAGGAGGTCAAATTGGGGCTGAGGAATGTCCAGCAAAGTAGCATATGGTGGAATTGCATCCTCTCTGCATTTAACTTATGAATATTTAACTCTATGCACTACTCAAATAGTAATAATAATGGTATGGTGAAAATATAGAAAATTTTCAAATCAAATGTCTATAAATGCATTTGTGACCAACCAAAGAAACTGGCATCTGCTCCAACATCAGAGAAAAACTGACTATTAGACTTAAAAGGACTCACTCTATACCGCAACTGTACCTATGGGACATCCTAGGAGATTTTCAAGGTTAGTTCTCACTGTATGTGACTTTTACTCAAGATGTCAGAGTCTGACCTCTCTCCAACAACGCCAGATTCAGTACTAGAGTAATAACTAGTGCTGGTACCAGATTCAGTACCAGAGTAATACTAGTACTGGTACCAGATTCAGTATTAGAGTAATAACTAGTGTTGGTACCAGATTCAGTATTAGAGTAATAACTAGTGCTGGTACCAGATTCAGTACTAGAGTAACAACTAGTGCTGGTACCCTATTCAGTACCAGAGCAATACTAGTGCTGGTACCAGATTCAGTACTAGAGTAACAACTGGTGCTGGTACCCTATTCAGTACCAGAGCAATACAAGTGCTGGTACCAGATTCAGTACTACAGCAATACTAGTGCTGGCACCAGATTCAGTATCAGAGTAAAAACTAGTGCTGGTACCAGATTCAGCACTAGAGTAACAACTGGTGCGGGTACCAGATTCAGTACTAGAGTAACAACTGGTGCTGGTACCCTATTCAGTGCCAGAGCAATACTAGTACTGGTACCAGATTCAGTATTAGAGTAATAACTAGTGCTGGTCCCAGATTCAGTACCAGAGCAATACTAGTACTGGTACCAGATTCAGTACTAGAGTAACAACTGGTGCTGGTACCAGGTTTAGTACCAGAGTAACAACTGGTGCTGGTACCAGATTCAGTATTAGAGTAATGCTAGTACTGGTACCAGATTCCGTACTGGTATAACACACCGTGATTAAAAATTTCTTAGAAGAATAGTTAATGACACAGGAAGTGTCCACACTGGATTAAAAAGTTTTTTTAAAAAGCTACAAAATAGTGTGTAGCATATGAGCCTCTTTAATGTAAATGTGTGAATAATTACATGAGATCGGAGTATGTTTCTAAATCCACAAAGTGGAAGGATACACTCCAAAGGTTGCGAGCACCTCTCTCTGAGTGCTGAGGTTTCGCCTGATTTCCTTTCTCTCCTTTTTGCGGGTGCGCTTTTACAGTGATTTCTGTGCCTGTGTAATCAAAGTTCTAAGTCACCAATCGATCTAAGAGGCAACCAGGAAAGAGGCCCCGAGGGCTTGCTGAGGCTCAGCAGCGGCCGGCAGTGGCGGCCCACGGTCGCTGTCTGAACAGCTAACAGATGTCGGAGCTATTTGGGGCCTGTGATGTCACCTGGCGGGCCGGCCCATGACTGTGGTTATGATGTCATCTGCCGTCTGGCTGTGCGGCTCTGTGGCCAGTGAAGTCACTGGGGAGGGAGAGTCCCCCCTGGAGGCCCCCGTGTACCCTGCACAGGCAGCCGTCTCCCCTGGACTCCAGGCACCAAGATAGCCCAGGAGGCTTGAGGGCTGCCAAAGGAGCAGCCGGCCAGGCCTGGAGCCATGGTGCCATGCTTTTGGCCTCAGGACCACTCCCTTCCGGGGGGCTGGAATGCCCAGGCCTCCCTGGTCCTGCCCAGCCAGCCTACCTCCTGCCACTCCACCACTGTGAGTCAGTGCCCACTTCACACCCGTATCTACTGACTTTGCAGGAGATTTTCAAGGTCAGTTTTGCGTATTCTCCAGGACTCCTGGCATGCTGACCCCTGACTTTGCCTCGTGATGGGCCCTCTGCCTGACGCAGCCCCCGCCACCCCTGCAAGGTTGATGTCAACCCATCCTTCAGAGAGCCAGCTGGAAAGTCCCCTCCTCCTCCGACCGCACAGAGGCAGCCTGGCACAGACACTCACGCCTCCAGCCCTCGTGTCAGACTGCCTAGGTCCAAATGCCTTTTACAGGGTGCGGCCGTGGGCAGGATTTCTCACTCCTCTGGGTTTGGGTGAAATGGACTTTTCAGCCCTTACTTCATGTGAGAATGGAATGAGGAATTCTATGTTGCAGTGCACAGGATAATACCTGATGTGGTTTGGCCTATAGGGTTATCCTTCACCACTGTGCATGACGAATGTCCTCCCCTCCTTTGTGTCCCCCAGCAGCTTCTCCTTCTGGACACTTTGGCAACCTACACAAATTTTCCCACCTTTGTTTTCTCATCAGTAAAAGGGGGATGGAAGTAATTATTCAATCAGGACAGATCTCTGTCCTGAGAGACGTTTAGCTCGTCTCTCTTCTCTCCCAGGAACCACGGAGGTGTTTAAAGAGGACGTCATTGAAAACTAGGCAATTTTTTGGTTCTTTCTGGCCCAGCTGATTGAGTTTACCACGTCTCTGTCTAAACCATCACGCGCCCAAAGCTTTGACCCAGTTTCAGCCCCTGGGAGCAAGAAAAGAAGTGAGAAAGGAGAAGAATCGTGGCTCTTATTGTCGTCATGGCATGTGAAACCACAACTGAACATTTTCACCCACAGTGTTTGGGCATGACCTACTCGGGGTGTCAAAGTTCAAGGTAGAAGGAGCAACAAGCTCTCTTCCCAGTAAAGTTTCCTCTACCTGCTCCCTATGCCCCCGCCCCCGCCCCCAGGACCTATCAAGCGGATGTGAGGCATTACACAATCCTGAGGGGATGACATCAGTGGGAAGGAATTTAGGACATTAGTGCAACAAGGGGCTTATAGAATTCTGGGGAAAAATCTTGACTTTGTTTGGAACATTACTGGACTCCCATTGCACGGGATATGTTTAGTTGCAGTAAAACTCCTCCAAAATTCTCCCAGCTAAAAGGTCTTGGTCTTAATTTAACTTGCCTGGCACCCTAGAGCCCAAGGCCTAATGGGCCATGGGCGTAGGCAACCTTGAAGGGCGGATCGACATTTAAGGAAGAGAAGTGGGTGGGAGCCACTAGCATGGTACCTGGCTCTCAGTAGACACCCACAAATGGCGGTGATGGTTGCACCTCTGATAGGCTTGGTAAATGTGAATATTAGCCAAAGAGCTGGGTGGTTCTGACTTCCTCATAATCTGGAGCCTCTGTGGCTTGGTTTTCTATTGCTGGCATAGCAAATTGGCCAACAACAATGAAATTTACTCTTTCGTATTTTCTGTAGATTGGAAGTCCAACACGGGTCACATGAGGCTAAAATCAATGTGTCATCAGGGCTGCATTCCTTCCTGGAGGCTCTGGGGAAGAATTCACTTTTAAGCTCCTTCATGTTGTTGGCAGAATCTAGTTCCTTGTGGTTGCAGGACTGAGGTCCCCATTTCCTTGCTGGCTGCCAGCTGGGGACCACCCTTAGCTCCTGGAGGCCTCTGTCTGCTCCTTGTCTGTAGGCCCCACATCTTAAAGCCAGCAACAGCATGTCAAATCCTTCTCACTTGGAATCTCCCTTTCTCTGGTCAAAGAACGTTCTCTGCTTTTAAGAGATCATGTGATTAGATTGGGCCCCAACTAGATAATCCGGAAATCTTCCTATATTAAGGTCTCTAGCCTTAATCATGTCTGCAAAGTCCCTTTTGTCATGTGATGACCTATTCGCAGGTTCCAGGTAACAAGACACGGAGGTCTTTGCAGGGCCATTATTCAGTCTACCACGGTGAATTCTGTCCCACTATGAGAAGTCTGTCTCTGGGAGACTCTGAGCTGGGAAATCTGAGCTCTCCTCCGTTCTTCGAAAAGCATTCATCAAGCGCTCACTGTGTGCTGAGAACTCACAAGTGCTTGGGATATAAAATAGAAATGATTATACTACTAAGAGGAAAGAGGAAGAGGAGAAAGAGAAACTGGCTTCTCTTGAACATCTACTGTGTGTCAGGTGCACGTCGTGCATTCTGTCTAATGTTCAAGGGCATCCTGTGGTACAAATGAGAAAACTGGGGTTCTGGGGTTTAACAACTTGCCCACAGTCAGCCAGTCTATAGATGGCACAGTCAAAACTCGTCCCCTCTTTCCTCTCTGACTCTCCAGATTTGAGTCACTCAGAACACCTCCAGTCTACAGAGGGAAACACCACACCTTCTGGGACCAGGCCCTGGACCCTGCCTACCAGGGGTCACTTCCTTCTTCCCCCAGAGGATGAGGCTGTCTGCATTTGTGACCTTCTTGAGGGACCCCAGGGGGGTTTCCAGAGGCAGCTGGAGGAGAAAGCTGGCAGACCTGTGGTCCCTGACCTGGATGCCCAGGGTTCTTTTGTAGAAGCCAGGGGGAGACTGTGGGGATGGCGTGGGCTCTGGGCCCTGCAGCCTCCTCTGGCCGAATTTACGTGTTCTTGGCTGTCCAGGTGCACTCCTTCCTCTTTTTGACAACCTGGTGTGTTCACAGCTCGTCCTTCAAAGGGTAATGAGCTGTGGGCTTCAGTCTTCAAACTACAGGCTTTGTAGAGAATCAGGAACAAATTAGGCACTTAATACATGCTGTGGAACAAACTGGGAAGAGGTCATAGCAAAAAGCCAGAAGAATCTAAATAAAAAAGCAGCAGAGCCAGCCCTGATGGCCTAGCCGTTAAAGTTCAGCCCGCTCCGCTTCTGTGGCCCAGGTTCACTTCCCAGGAGCCAAACCATACCACTCGTCGGTCAGTATCCATGTCGTGGTGGCGGCTCACTTAGAAGAACCAGAAGAACTTACAACTATAGACAACTATGTACTGCAGCTTTGGGTTGGGGGAGGGAGGAAGAAAAAGGAGGAAGATTGGCATCAGAAGTTAGTGCAGGGCACGTCTTCCCCTGCAAAAAATAAAAAAATAAAAAGCACTGCATCATAGGAGAAATTCACCTCCAGTTACTAACATTGTTCTTAATTACGACTATCACCTCCCGAGTAGTTACAGTGTTCCAGGTGCTTTTATATGCCATTGATGTATGTTAATTTATTTACTCCTCACAACGTCCCGAGAGGTGTAGCTATAGACATTTCATCACTACCGCAGGAGGTGCTCAGAGACGTAAATAACTTGCTCTAGGACACAGAGCTGGCAAGGTCCAGAGTCTGGGTTCAAAGGCAGGTGTGACCTCTGCCAACTCATTAGCCAAGAGCCCCCCACCAGGCCACGCAGAGACCAGCAATGTCTTGGAGGCCATGATATTATTGCAATCTCACAATGACGCTCTGCAGTTGGTCATTGTCTTCCCCTATTTTACTGTAAAATAAACCAAGCTTCAGAATGGCCAGAGGACCTGGCCAAGGCCCCGGTTAGGAGGGGCACTGGAAGGAGGAAGGGATGGTGGCTTCAGAAACTGAGGCCAAGCTTTGGCATTTCCAGGCTGTGTTGTCCTCCTC